CCCCCCCCCCAAAAAAAAAAAGAAAAAAGAAAGTAGTTTTAGATTTTATAGTAGCAATAATAAAATCCATTCCTTAGCATGGTGACAGTCTTTATAACCTATTAATAAGTGAGATTAATTACAGTTGGGCAAAGAGATATAGAAAAATACAAAAACATTAATCCCAGAGTAAGATTAAAAAATGGAAGGGACTAAATTAGTAAGTACACAGTGAGTGGGAACTATAAAATATGAATTCTTATATAGTCTTCCAACTTTGTGAATGCTTTCTCTGACATAAAGGGATGGGAAACCATTAATATGAAAACATTTGGAACAGAGAAGGCACATTTTCTTTGTACAAATTTTATTTTTGCTCTCACATTTGCTTGCTACAGACTTCTTTAACCCTATCCTCTCACACACTAAGAAGGCTATAGGTGAGTTAAGAACTCCATAGGAAAAAAAGGTTTATACAAGGGACTAATACAGCAAGAATATACATATATGCTCAATATACATATGTTGTGGTAAAGGAAGTAGGAAATGTAAAATGAGTCTGGGGAGAGGAAAGGAACAAGATGGGGAAAATGATGGAAGTGGTGACTTTGATCAAGAAGCCCTGGACACATAGATGAACATGTTAAATTGTAATCCCCTTGCCTTCCTTGTACAGCATTTTAAAATTCAGGTAAAATAAAAAGTTTTGTTATTCAAACCAATAATTCAGGGCACCACTGGGAATACTCACAATTTAAGTATTAAGATATTTTAAATAATGTATGCATGCCTTAGTATTTTCTGTACCCTGTTTAAAATTTGATCAAGTCTACAAAGCTCTCTTCTCTGTAGCACCTAATGATGTTTATACTTTATTCTTCTTGAACTTGGAATCAATTTTTAATAATACTCAAGGAAAAAGTAAAATAAAATGACCACCAGCACTTGTCTTTTCAATTATTTAGTTTCTCTTTTTAAAGCCACTTTGTAATGATCACTCGGTACAGGATTATAATTTATACATATTATTTCTTTTGAAGTGCACTGGAGTTTGAACTCAGGGCCTTGTGCCTGCCAGCCTTGGGCCCATTTTGCTTTAGTTATTTTTTGAATGTTTATACCTGGGACTAGCCTGGGCTACAGTCCTGTGTAGGCTTCCCGCACAGCTGGGATGACAGGCATATATTACCACATCCAGCTTTCATTGGTTGATATGAAGTCTTATAAACTTTTTGTCCTGGCTGGCTGCCTTGAACTAATTTTCTGAATCTATGCTTCTCAAATAACTATGATTACAGGAATAAGCCACTGTGCTTGGCTATATTACTTGTTAATATCATTTCAAAGATTTATTGTTGAATATAACATAATAAAATTACCACATCTAAGTTGAACACCTACTAACTAGGCTAAATAGAATGTTTCATATTAATAAAGCAGGTAAAATCTCATTTAACTGGTTATCACTGAGGAAAAAACTGTCACAATGTAAATTCCCTAGATTATTAGACCTAATCTCAATTTAAAAAAATTGGTTATTATCAGCTGGGTTCAAGTTGCTCATGCCTATAATCCTAGCTACTTGGGGAGGCTAAGATCTGAGGATCATGGTTCAAAGCCAGCCTGGGCAGGAAATTTTGAGCGACTCTTATCTCCAATTAGTCACAGAAAAAGCTGGAAGTAGTGCTATGGCTTAAGTGGTAAAGCATTAGCCATGTGCAAAAGAGCTCGGGGACAGTGCCCAGCCCAGAGTTCAAGTCCCAGAATTGGCAAAAACCAACAAAAAAAGAAAAAAAAAGAAAAAAAATTAAAAAGGTTATCTGATAGACATTAGACATTACCTTTTTTTGGTTGTGGGGCTTGAACTTGGGGCCTAGGAACTGTCCCTGAGCTCTTTTGCTTAAAGTTAGTGCTCTACTACGTTGAGTCATAGCACTAGTTCCCGTTCTTTGGTAGTTAATTGGAGATAAGAATCTCATGGATTTTCCTGTCTGGGCTGGCTTTGAACCATGACCCTCAGATCTCAGCCTCCTGAGCAGCTAGGATTATAGGTGTGAGCCACCAGTGCCCCGCTTTGCCGGCCCTTTAAACAACACATACAACACAATCCCAATTTTTTTTTTGTTGCTTTTAGTAATGACTTCAAAACTTTACTTAGTAACTAATTCTACAATGTTACCTCTCACTTTTACAAAGGGAGACAAAATCCAAAATCAAAGTCATCACCTGTCTCCAAGTGTGACAATACCAGAGCACCAATATCATCACCATAGCAAAGAAACAGGGCCAACTCAATGCAGTCATTTCTTCCAGCATGATGACTCACATGGATGATGGGTCTCCAAGGTGAGGGCACATCAAATGCCTGGAAGACTTACACATCACAGCTGGACAGCGTCCACTTCATAGTAGTTGTGGGATAGGCCTCAGAATTTGTATTTCAACAAGTTCCCACATGTTGCTGATTCTACCCTTTGAGAAATTGCTGGGCTAATCTAAAGCTTTTCCTTCCTCCTCTTACTGGTCTTCTCTGCAGCATCTGATGATATTAACACTTCCTCTTTCTGAAACTTAGAATCAGTTTCTAGTTAATTGAGCCAGGCTTGGGAACAACCAGTGAACATTAGTAATTGCTAGAGAGCCATCTCTAACATATGTCAGTGTCATTCTCTTGCCCTTGGTTCAACAACCTAAATAAGGAGTTTTCAATTTTGTTTTTCATAGACTCATAGATAATTGAAGATGCCAAGAAATTCTGGAAACATGATTTTCCCACTTCCTTTCCTACTCCCAGACTAGTTCTTCTTCCCATGTTCCTTGCCTCATGACAGCAGCTTTACTAATCTAGTCACACAAGTCAGGATGATTCTAGGTCCCTCTTTTAGTCTGTGCCCTTCACCATTTAGTGAGTCATTGTGTTTTGTCAATTTGCTCTTCCAGATAGTTCTTCAGCCTGGTTAATTTCTCTCTAGTTCAACTGTCTATTTTACTTGGCTGAATACCAACAGCCTTCCTACTGGGTTTTGACCATAATGCATTCTCTGCAATATAATTACAATAATGTTTCCTAAATAAAATTCTAGCTATGCCATTCCTGTTATGAAAGTCTACACATTGCTGCTATAAAAGTCTACCCATGCCACCTCCTGGCTTTTAGGATGAAATCCAAACTTGCTGACAGGACCAGGAGGTTCTTCATGATTGGTCCACTTCTCCCTCTAGCACCATCACTTGACATTCTCCTTTCATTTCTGTATTTAAGTCAGGAAAACCATCTTCAAATTCCAGAACACAATATATTCACTCACCACTCACAACAACACATAATCTCTATCTCTCCTGGGTATTGTATCCCTCTTTTGGGTGGCAAACCCATGGCAGATATCAGATGGCACTTCAGGATGCCCTCCTTGTTTTCCCACCATCAATTTTTTTGGAGGCCACTCATATTATTTCAATGTCATGTTCATTTAACTATCACAGGCTTAATCTCATTATATTATGCAGTAATCACATTATGTTTTGTGTGTGTGTGTGTGTGTGTGTGTGTGTGTGTGTGTGTGTGGTGCTGGTACTAGGGCTTGAACTCAGGGCCTGTATGCTGTCTTTAGCTTTTTTCCTCAAGGTTGATGCTCTATCACTTGCACTACACGTCCACTTTGGCTTTTTAGTGGTAAATTAGAGATGAGTCTCATGAACTTTGCTGTGCAGGCTGGCTTCAAACCACAGTCCTCAGATCTCTGACTCCTGAATAGCCTGATTATAAGTATAAACCACTGGTGGCTGGCTTTCACATTAGGTTTTAATCAGTTTTTTCCTTCATCTCACCACACCTAGTAATTTTAAATTTATATGCTCTATAAGCAAAAAAGTTTCGTGAAAAAGAAACAGACCCTCCTTGAGTTCAAATCTCACTTCTGCTTCTCATTAACTCTACGATGTTAGCCAAGAATCAAAGCCAAGAAACCCACAAAAAATACTATAGTACAGAAGGACGAGAATTTATGCAATCACTGTAATTTTAAACATATGGTTTTCCTTTTTTGGTTTGTTATTTCATTTGTACCACAGGGTTTGGACTAAATCAACTCTAAAGTTCCTTTCAACTCTAAGAACTTATGGATATGATTATCTGCAGTATCTGGGATAGCAGGCATTTTAAAGGCCTATGAAAATCATTCAAATATAGTTAATATAAATATTTGAAGCTGCAGAATCACAGTAAATTTTCATGATCACTTAATTGCACCGATTGCTTAAAATGCATAGTAAGACTTTCAGGTTTTATTTTATTTTGAAAATTTGCTAGAGAGCAGTATAAAAATAACTCCTTTCTTTTTAAATCTAATCACAAGGGAAACATTTTATTATGTTATTTTTCTTGGATTGCTGTTAATTCATGAAGTTTCACTCCTGTATATTATAGTTTATTTCCAAATATTCTACTTCTAAAGAGAGAGGTATTTCTTGTAAAGTTCCAGCATTAACTGTTTTTTTTGTTAAGGCAGAGGAATTTTTGCTTACATTAGCAGGCACTAATACATTACTACGAGTAAAGGTAACATTTTATAGCATTTAAAAAAGTAAAAATTATGTATGCAAATATGGTATATCTGATTGTATTCAATGCACTCCTAGCTGTCTCTTAATTCTTATAGCATACTTACTTCCCAGAACCTGTGAGACAAGTCAGAAAGGATATTTCCTCTACTTGATGGATGAGGAAACAGAGGTGTCTGAGTATGCCAAGTCCCAGTTTTTTTTTTTTTTTGGGTCCGGTTGTGGAGCCTGAACTCTGGGCCTGGGCGCTGTCCCTCAGCTCTTCAGCTCAAGGCTAGTGCTCTACCACTTGAGCCATAGCGCCACTTCCGGCTTTTTTTGTTTTGCTTATGTGGTGCTGAGGAATCGAACCCAGGGCCTCAGGCATGCAAGGCAAGCGCTCTACCACTGAGCCACCTTCCCAGCCCCCCAAGTCCCAGTTTTAAAATGGCAGAGCTGGAACCGATACCATGTCTTATTGACCTATGTATAAATAGAATCCAGCAGTTAGCTGATACTTAAAACATGTAACAAATGAATTAATGTACATTTTTTAGTTCTTAGAGTACAGGGATCCTTTTAGTGCTCATTTCCTTCTAATTGGTAAGGCATGTTTATAGCTGAGTCAATTAAAATTACTAAGTTAAAATCAAGAATGTTAATTGATGCAATTTAGGTAAGTCAAGACCTCTGGATTGAAAACAGTAAGTAAAATTTTTTTTAATCTTATTGATAGAATAGGCAAAGGAAAAAAAAATCCCTATAAACAAGTACCTGTGGTGCAAGCAGAGGTAGCCTAATATAAGCCAAAAGCTTGCTGAGATCTTTCCGTCTCTGTTCCAAATCATGCCGGACCCAGGTCAGAAGTGCATTCAGTATAGTCTCCTCATTAGGAATGTTCATGTCATCACTGGCCAGGAGCTTTGCAATCTCACTGGCTGGGAGGAGCACAAACTCCTGGTTTCTTATTACTTCCATAAAATGTTCCTAGAGGAAAAACAATAGCAGATAAATAATATTGCTCCTTTTGGCCCTCACAGATTATTTAAAAAGATGCTAAAAGTTGGTTAAATTAGATGTTCAAACATAATTTATACTTCAGACCTTACAGTGTACTGCCACGTACTGGGAAGGAAACAGCAGAAACATTGAAACTGGAATTACGTTGCTGAACATAAATAAGGAGAATTAAAGCGTTGTCTCACTACATTTTATAAATGAATCTGTGGCATTTAGGGACTGATTTGCCCATAATGTTAGAAAGTAAGTTTGGCAAGGCTTTTGAAGTGAGGTAAGAAAAAAATGAATTAGAAATGCAATGTAGGACACCTTAGCATGAGAAGTTAGTTTGGAATTGTGGTTGCTGAAGGACTGAGGCAATAGTATCACATCTGGTGGTATTAGCACTCAGGAGGTCAAGTCAGGGGGATCATGAGTTCTAGGTTAGACTGGACTATGTATCAAGTTTGAGGCCACAATGGAGTAGGTAGCCAGACTCTGTTTCAAGCAAGCGAATAGCAAACACACAGAAAGAATTTAGATAATGGTTGAGCCAAATTAAGCTTCAAGTTGTCTTATCCAGAAACCACCTCAGGCTAACTAGACTTCCTCATACAGTTCTAGACCACAGCCTTTTTATACCCTACCTGAGAAAAGTCCTAAAACCAAATTGGCCTTTTGTTCTTGTTATTTTTTGAGATAAAATCTGGTTAGTAGTCTAGGTCATGCTTGAACACACTATCTTCTTGCCTCCTAAATTACAGGTATGCAATACTATGTCTAGATCAAAAGTATTATAAGACTACCAGTGATACTAGGTCTGTTTTGAAAACCTGAATCTCTTTTAGTCTGATTTATGTACAAAGTTATTTTGCTCACAGGAGAAAGAAACAAAGCAAAAGTGTATAATGAGGAAGGTCATAGGACCAGGACCTTAGATGAAGATGACTCAGTCCAGGCTGCACATGAGAATCGAGCCCTCTATAAGTTGAAGAAATGCTCTTAGGTGTGAGATGATTTCTACAGGTTATTATGCTATGTAATCCAAAGAGAAGGAATGCCGACCCTGATTTGAAGCTTTAAAAGTCTTAACACATGGACAGTTAACATTGTTAAATAAAAATGCAAATACTGGACATATGTGGTTCCCTAATGTTTTCTAATCCTTCCTAAGATACTATTCCTACATTACTATAGGGTTTCAGTAAAGTAGCTATTTAAATTAGAGCTAGAGATAAGATCTGTCAACAACTACCTTCTATATTAACATGAGAATCATATATTCTATTTAGCCTGTGGTAATCTGAGTGAGATACTGTCTGATAATACATCTTGGGGTGACATTCCTTCTAGCAGAAATTCTTCAGAGGAAAAAGCATTCATAAATAATTAACTAAATCCAATCACTCCAATTCATCATGGTTTGTTAAAACATACCCAAACGAATCTATTTTAAGTGATTGATGATCATTTTCAGAAAGATATTTTAATAAAATTTCAACACTGGAATGGCTTCAAGCAAATTGTTCTGCTCAACTGTTTAACTGACATTATAAAATGATTCGGTAACACTCACAGTAAGAGTTATAAAAAAAAGTTATAAAAATGTTAAAAGTGGGCTGGACTTTAGCTCAGAGGTAGAGTACATATGTGAGAGCCTGGGTTCAATTCCCAGGACTGGGAAAAAAAAAGTTAAAACTCTCAACACAGTTACTCTTCTTCTAATTTAAACCTTAACAAAGCCCAATGTCCAACAATACTTCTTTGTAATATTATGTAGAGTACTAAATACTTTCAGTTAGTCTAACTGATAGACTGATGGAAAGAAACAAAATGTCCAACCAGAACTTGTAACCCAAGAGACTTTTAAAACAGGCAAAGGAAATTTCAAGGACATATAGAATCATCCCTTATCCTATTACATCCCTTACCAATTGCAGCTTCACTGTCTCACACGTTAAAAAAAATGTAAATAGTGATTCCTCACCTATTGTGGGATCTATGTTCCAGAGACCCCCGTGATAGATAAAAATCCACAAAGTAGCAGTAAGTGAACTGTGATATGGTGAGGGATGACTATCTAATGCTGCTACTTTGTGGATTTTCACCTACCAAGGGGGTCTCTGGAATGTAACTCAAGATACATGTGAGTGATCACTGTATGTACGTATGTTTATGTATATATGTATGCATGAATGCATGTATGTTCAGAGAAATCCAAACATGTGTTCTGGTAGCTTAAAAGTCTGGTATGCAGCATGAGCAACATATTTGTACAATACTGGTGTAACTATTGCTGTGTTTTCAAATACTATTAACTACATTTCATCAACAATAAAATCACTTAGAGAGATAATCATTTGATGTTATTTGTTAATGTTTCTATTTCACAACAATACCCTTTGCATTCTAGCATAACTTACATTAAGTAAAAATTGAGTTTTTCAACAAATTACACTACTGAACCAAACAAAAGTCTATGCAAAAGCATTATTTTGCTCTTAAAAAGGGTTTTTAGCAGAATTTAATGTTTTTGTGAGTTTCGTAGATTTAGAAACAAAATTCAAATTGTAAAATTAATGGTTGCTCTTTGTTTTGGTACCAAACATTTGTCTTTTACCTGTTTGTAATGGTATAATTGTCTAGACTTGTTTTTTAGAAGTTAAATGGCTTGGTCAGTGGGAGTTGGAACTAAAGGAACAGTTTCCACTCTCGGTTCCCAAAAAGGAACTCCTTCTCCTGAATTCTTACTTGAATTGTGCAATATCTTTAAACATACACAGTACTGGCATAGCGTTATGCTTCTTTTTTCATTTGGGTAACACTGAGGGTTGAATTCAGTGTCTTGTGCTTGCCTTAAGAGTGTTCTACTACATGGGCCACACTTTGAAACTTTTTTGCTTTAGGTTATTTTTCAGAGTCTCAGGCTAGCCTCAGGAATATTCTTCCCAAGTAGCTGGGATAAGAATAACTAGGATTATAACTGTGAGCCACTGTGCCTATCCTTTACTTCACATATATATTTTGTGCTAGTCTTGAAGCTTGAACTCAGGGCCTGGGCACTGACCCTGAGCTTCTTTGGCTCAAAGCTAATGCTCACCACTTGAGCCACAGTGCCACTTCAGGCCTTTTCTGAGTAGTTTATTGGAGATGAGAGTCTCACAGACCTTCCTCCCCGAGCTGGCTTCCAACCATGATACTCAGATCTCAGTCTCTTGAGTAACTAGGATTATAAGTATGAACCATCACTGCCCAGCTTTTACTTCACATTTTAAAATATGTTTTAGAATACAAGAAATATATATGCCACTAAAAGCTTGCTAGAATGGTGCCCTTTCCCCTTTGGAATAGTTTGTAAGCAAATGAAATTACTGAGGAACTTAAAATGAAGATTGAATTTTGCTATACATTTTTATTCAGTTCCCATAGCAACAATTCAAATCAGACAATCTGCCTCTAAATTACTTATTGTTATTAGAATTCTACTTCACATGCTGTTCAAACTAAGTAATGTTAAGTAATGACCTTGAAGGGAAAAAAAACTCTACCACAACTAATTGGCTATAAAAATAGTTTTAAAAACAGCTAGCTAATTTAAATTTAATTTATGTCAAGGCTTAAAGCAGCAATCATGCCACTATTGTAAACAAATGGAGTGACCTAAATGCATGCAAATGTTTTCACATGAGAAAAACTCCTGTGTAGGAAAGAAATATTAAGTTATAAGTTATTAGCAGGGCTGGGAAGGTGGCTCAGTGCTAGAGTGCTTGCCTTGTATGCATGAGGCCCTGGGTTTGATTCCTCAGCACCACATAAGCAGAAAAAGCCGGAAGTGGAGCTGTGGCTCAAATGATAGAGTGTTAGCCTTGAGCTGAAGAGCTGAGGGACAGCGCCCAGGCCCAGAGTTCAGGCCCCACATCGACAATAAATAAATAAATAAAGTTATTAGGAAGAAAAACCCATTATAAATTTATCTTTTTCCAAAAGTATTTGAAGCTGCATATGTAAGGTTATAATATTTAAAAAGAAGGATACAGATTGAGGGGTAAGGGATTTCAAAGGATTTAATTAAGAAATATTAGGTGAAAACCATACTGGTTCTGTATATTACTGTCCTATTATATAATCTCTTATTTTTTCACTTGAGGCCCTGTGACAATCATCATCCTTGAGAATGTGAGTTGTAGTTTTATGTGATTGTTTACTCACATTTAAATCCTATTGAGTTGAATAGAGTAAATATCAAACTTGATTCACTCATATAATCCTCACATCAAGCTTATGTTCCCAATAGTTGGTAAACATCTATTCATCTATTCTTAACTCCTATGAAAATTCCTAAAGCACTGTCAATCTCTTCACAGACAAACCAACTCAATAGCAGCATGGAGGAGGGAGGACTAGGATGTTGGTATAATTAACAATGTGGACAACTACATGCAGGTACATTGATGTTCACATTCTTTTTTCTCTTAGAATTTGTGCTGCCCTAGTTGAAAGTCTTAAAGCAACACACTGAAACCATTGCCTATGATAGCATGGTAAGGTTGGCTGTTCATAATAAAAATCCACACACCTTCCTTCCTTGTACCATCTACTATTAAGACTCAAGACTGGTTCTAAAAATATGCCTTCAACATGCCCTTCTTTTTTTACTATCTGACATCAATCCATATTCTATTACCCTTTAAGCTGCCATTCAGAACCTTCTCTATGATATATATATATATATATATATATATATATATATATATATATGTATGTATATTCAATTAATTTTTTTTTTTTGGTCATGGGACTTGAACTCTGGGCCTGGGTGCTGTCCCTGAGCTCTTCAGCTCAAGGCTAGTGCTCCTAGTGTTCTACCACTTTGAGCCACAGCATCATTTCTGGTTTTCTGGTGGTTAATTGGAGATAAGTCTCATGGACTTCCCTGCCCAAGCTGGCTTTGAACCATGATCCTCAGATTTCAGCCTCCTGAGTAGCTAGGATTACAGGTGTGCGCCACTGGCACCGGCTTTGGTGATGTATATTTAAGCACATAATTAATAAGAATGTTGCCCTTCATGGCTACAAATACTTCATAAATACAATCAGATTTATCCTTAAGAAAAAGTCTTCTATCTAGTCCTCTTATCATTTGTATTAACATTGTATCAATATATAAACTACTCTTGCCTATTTCCATCAATGTTTATGTTGATAATTATGAGATTCATCCATGGGCTGCAAAGTAAAATGCTTGGTGAACTCTGACTTTAGAAAGCAGCAGATCTGAAAATATTATATGGAATAGTGTTAGGCTACTGCCCCACTTCTTACTGACTGCAAAAACTTAGGTCTCATCTGTCAGTAGAAATATTGCTTAGTGCTTTACCCCTTCATAACAAACTGAAAATATGACATGCTAGACTATGAACCTAAACCTCAAGACACATAGCAAAGCCATGTGAAAACAACATGCAGACAAGCCTCCAACAATAAGGAATAAGGTAAAGAGGTTATGCTTTCCTTCTTTCAAACAATACATACCATTGTATAATTGTGAGCCACTTTATGCAAATCTGTACAACCTTGGGCATCAGCAAAAGAACGGATTCCAAGACAGTTGGATGGATGAAGTTGTTTCATTAAAAACTTACAGCATGCTTCCACAACCTGTGAAAGCTGAAGGAGGCAGGCTGTGGACAACAGGCACTCAATATTATCTTCTTTCAATTCTAGGCGGCCTTAATGATAAGAAGAAATATCATTAATTATGGAGTACATGACTCTTCTTCATAAAATAACCGAAGGATAAGATTTCTAAATAAGAACTCATTGCATGTATTGCAATCTAGAAGGCTTAAGACATTTTAGAGAAATTATTAAATGGATAAAATACATATGCAAGCTGTTTTGTGACCTCTGCTAAAAAAAAATCTAAAAAACTCAGCATTTAAAAATGATTCATTAGTTGGTAACTATCTACTCTACATAAGTCTCAAATTCTAAAGGAAAAAATTTTGACTAATTGTATCACTCATTGACTTATATATTAATATTTTAGCATACTATTCAAACACTCTAACCATTTTAGAGGCTTTAATATGGAGATTTTAACCTATTTACGTATCATGAGGTGATGATGACAATAGCAGAACTAGACTACTACTTATGGAATGTTTTGTTAAAAGCAGAAACCTGAAATCTAATTACATAAATCTAAGTGGCTTTAACTGACACGATCAGACTTATTACCTGTATATGCATACTGAATCAAGGCCCATAATGAGTTCGGTTCTACACCTTCCATTTTTATTTCTTCTTGTCTTGCCTCTCTGACATCATTAGTAAACATGGCAGCAAAATAATCTGAGACAGAGGAGAGCACCAATCTGAGAACACATTGGAAAAAAAAATCAGTGACCACATTAATGCTAGTGCTTTATCTTCTCTTTTCATTCACTACCCTTAGACAGTCCATAGTACTGGGAAACTCATCTTAAGTTTGGCAAATTGGCTTTATGCTCTACTTCCTTCCTCTGAAATTTTTCTGCTGAGATAAAGATTTACCTGCTCACTATGCAGACACCACTTTCTCACATCAAGAAAATAGCCAATAGCATGAAGCCAATTATATTTTTTAAAAAAGGAAAATGCAACGGCCATTTTCTGTTTATTTATTTATTTATTTTGGCCTGGGTGCTACCCTGGTCTGGCTTCAAAACAATCCTCAGATCCAGCCTCCTGAGTGGCTAGGAGGACAAGCATGAGGCACTAGTGCCCAGCTCTTTATCATTTTTGAAGATAACCTAAGAAATTTTTAGAAGTAGTACATATTTAAGAGACATTTGAAAATGATTTTATTAAGTTATTTTTTACTTCTATAACACTTTAAATATTGTAGCATACAATATGTGTTTCAATATAAAATTATAGTATTTATAGTACTATAAAACTATTAAATTAAAACAATATTACAGTATGTTATAGTATGTCAAATTTCGGAGTCATATTTAGGGTAAATATTTTTGGGTATATTTAAGGTATATATGTATATAAAATATATATCACATGTATTATATAGTTTATATATAACACATATACGCATATACTTCTTTTCATTTATGGGTCTTAATGATATTTATATGTAAGAATATTTATGCAGAGTTACTCAATTCACTTTTGAAAGAATTAATATTATGATATAAACAACAGACAAAGGTCTTTTTGTGTCTCTAACTTCAGTCTCCTTCCTTTTCAGGAATGGTTTGCTGAGTAATAAGTTTGCCAAATTGCTCTCCAAAGGCTGTACCAATTCAGACCCCTCACCAGCCTTGTGTAAGAGCCAAGGATTCCTTACAATACTGTCAGATTCTTAACTTTCTGACCATTTACAAGATGTTAAATGCTATCTCACTGTTGCTTTAACAGTCCTTTTCCTGATTACTAGGGTGGCTGAAGAGTTTTCAAATATTTATGGGCCATCCTGGCTCCTTCTTTGAAGAACTGCCCGTTTATCCCTCCCTCCCTAACTTCTGCTCTCTTCTGCTTCCTCCCTTTTTTTTTCCCTGTGGCAAAAAAATACTATTGAACACTTAAGAAATAATGATACACACTTACGATAAAGTGTACAAAACAGACAAAACTTCCTTCTCAGTAGGATCTTAGATTTTAGAAGGGAGATAAAAGATGATAACAGGTATAGTGGGGAAAGCAGGGAAAGATGAATAGGGAGTGGATGGGGAGTTGAACAGTTTCACTGGAATGTGATATTTGTGCAAAAGCATGAGGGAGGGAGGTGAAGGACTTCATCATACAAGTATCTGAGAACAGTATTTGGGCAGAAACCGTGTGTCTGGTATGTTCAAGGAAATCTAAAGAGGACTATATGACCCATAAAGAGTAAGAAAGGAAAGCAATGGGGAAAACATTTGAGAATTCAAGGCAGGCTGGGTGATATAGGTCATTGAGTGTACTCTGGCTCTCGTATTCAGTGATGTCAAGTGCCAATGAAATGTCTGATCAGAGAAGTGACTCAGTCTGAGTTCCAGTGTAAAGATTCATTCAGGCAGCTGTGTTAAAACATAATGCAGTGAAGCTCACACCTGTTACCCCAGCTATTTGGGAGACAGATAAACCATGTCAAAGTTAAAACAAGCTGGATGTGATGGCTCATGCCTCTTGGGTGGGAGGCAGAGATAGGACTGTGCTCTGATGCTGCTCAGGCAAAAGTTTGAACACCCACTTAAAAAACAAAATGGGAGCAAAGGACTGGCGACAAGGCTTAAGTAGTACAGCAAGGTTTGCCTACAAAGCATGTGGTCCTGAATTCAATCCCCAGTACTGACAAATAAACAGGAAACAGAATGAAGGGAGAAAGGATGAAGCACAGAGCAGATTTAGGAGGTAACATGAGTAATCTACATGAGAAGATTGAGAGCTAATGCAACCATAACAGCAATGGTAGTAAGTTCATTTTTGCAAATACTGGGTTTGAGATTCTTCTATGAAATTCTTGTTAACATTTGCAATATCTTCTCTAATAAATCTATGTTCATAACATGGAATTCCCATCATAGTTCATAGAAGTATCTCATTAATGCGGACAATTACAACACTAAACTCATTCTTTGTAATGCTTTTGCTTCTACTTTGTAGGGTTTTACAAAACTTTTGGGAGAGTGTTAATTAATGTTGAAAGGCATTAAAGAAAACCCCTCTGGGTTCACAGTGGTAATTAATGATGAACAAATGAATAAATACAGAATTGTGAGAAGAAAATGAACTGTTCTTTTTTAAACAGGTCTTTTTATTTGCTTACTTTAATAAATACATAATTTATGTTAAAGATGTTTTTCCTAACACCATTTTTCATACTTTTTAGAGATAAGCAAACAGAAACTAGGATAAAGGTGAACTTTAAAATCTGTTAGGTAGGAATGTAGCTCAGTGGTAAAGCCAGGCATAAGTCAGCAGCACTTAAATAAATAATCTAAAAATTGTTCACTTTTGCAACTCTATTTTGCTTTAACTACCTGCCAACTTGAACTTTCATTAAGTTTATTTGAAATGTTCAATAGCTAAGCCAAGTGTGGTTGTGTGTACTTGTAATCCTGACACTCAAGAGGCTAAGGCAGGAGGATTGCAAGTTTGAGAGAAGTCAGGACTCTGTCTCAGAAAACAAAACAAAACTAACAGTAAGTATTAATAGGTAGAATATTACATAAAAAGTGCTTATCATGGCCAAAATTTATACAAAAGAATATTGACTGGTCTAGGATTAATGTGTTTTGTTTTTTGTGCTTCTACAAAGACAAAAACAATCTCTTATGCTCACTTAATATGTAGTAACCATATGCACTGTTTGTGGAAATTCCATGAGACCTGCTTGGGACCAAAAGCATAACAGCTAATTGGCATAATTGACCTCACCATCCATAACTGAATTATTTAGGAAATATTTCACGTAGCTAGAAATGAGAAAACAGTTACCTGTGAGCTGGAATTCTTCGATCACCAGCAACTAAAATTACATCACATAACTGTTTATGTCTCAAATAGTTTTCCATTTTTTTAAATGTTTGCTCAGCATGATTAAGGGCTTGAAAAAATTCATCTGATGAACATGGTTCCATGGTATGGCAAGATGATGTCTGACTACTATTGGAAGTCCTGAAAAAAAAGAAAACACATTTTGAAATATTACTATCACACTGAAAACACCTTTCCTAGTAAGCCCTGTTAAAACCCTCAAATGTATTGGAAAAAACAATGCCAATCAGTGTTAAAGTATGGTCACTCAATATGTTACTTTTATGAGTCAGGATCTTTTTTCTGTTTTTTTTCCTCTTTATTGTTATTATAAAGGTAATATACAAAGAGATTGTAGTTACATAAGTCACATAATGAGTACATTTCTTCTGGGACAATGTCATTCCTTCCCTCATTCTCTCCCAGTTTTTTCTTTTTTCCTGTCCTCACCCACAAGTTCTACAGTCATTTTTCACATAGTGTCTAGTGAGTACTACTGCTGCATTGGTTTGAGTCAAGATCTTGATATACAGCCAGGCTTGCTTCAAACTTACGCTCTACCTCCCTCAGTCTTCCAAATGCTGGGATTATAGACATGTGACACTCCCTGCCTACACTGATTACTTTTGCTTTTTAAAACCAATGAAGGCTCAAGTCATTTGTGTGTCTATAAACGCTAAGTGAATGAGTCATTTATCTGCTAGCTAATAGTTACATATATTCTTTATAGAGCCAAGCTATATAATATTGATAACTTTATCCCTAACACTATATTTAATGGTGTAAGAAATCATTCTGTTCTTATGTCTGAAGGCAACAAAGCAATTAAAATGTTTTGGATATATAAATCCTAGTCATCCGTTACTTAAAAATGGGTTATACTGCACAGTTCATTTACTAAATACACTGTCATAAAAACAAGTGTTATAAATCTTCTGACTCCTTGGATAGTCCTCAAAAGCCCAGGTAATCCATAATATATATTAAATAAGTTAGATTAAAGCAAAACCCAGGGGTTTAAAACATGATTTGAAATTTGCAAATTATAATTTGAGAAGCATGTTTGCCAGCAGGCATATGCCATCAAGCTTGAAAGTCAAGTAATTGATATCCATCAGATCAGTTACACAATCAACAAAAGTCACCAGTTTAGTTCCCACTTCTTAACACGTTTTAACAATACTAAGATTCTGATGAATGCTTTGTTGTATCAAGCTTTTCTTTATCTTGAGATTTTTCTTAATACAACTATTGAGAAATCTCATCAAAAACAAGAAAGACATGGAAAGTTTTCACTTTTTTTTTTTTTTGGTTGGTCGTGGGGCTTAACCTCTGGGCCTGAGCGCTGTCCCTGCACTCTTCAGCTCAAGGTGAGCGCTCTACCACTCCAGCCACAGAGCCACAGTGCCACTTCTGGGTTTTTTCTCAGTGGTTTATTGGAGGTAAGAGTCTCACAGACTTTCCTGCCTAGGCTGGCTCTGAACCACGATTCTCGGATCTCAGCCTCCTGAGTAGCGGGGATTATAGGCGTGAGCCACCGGGGCCCAGGCAAGTTTTCACTTTTTAAAGCCAAGTGCTTTGTCAAGAGTTGTAGCATTTATTCCTGATAGACAAGGCTATAGACGAGACTACTCTGTGATCACTGAAACCCTTCTTTCTCTCTTATGATTACGGCCAGACAGCATTTCCTAGACTCTCTTGCAGATCGTCTTACATTGGGAATGAATTGTTATCCCACAGTTCACCTTAGCTGGTGTGGCTAAGAGCAGCATGGCTTTCCTATACTTTCCCTATCTATATGCTGACTGGAGAAGACTGGGGTCTTAGATGAAGAGATCAAATACAAGTAGGCCATTGAAACAAGAATGGTTATATATAGAGTACGCTCACAACAACTTATATTTGACTGAGATTTATGTGTTTCTCAAGTTAGCAGTACTTTGACATAAATGTTCTCCTAGTCCATTGCATTTTCAGTGCTTTATAAACATAAAAAGTACACATGGCCTGTGGATGTAGCTCAGTGGTAAAAGCATGTATTTAGCATGTGGGAGGCCCTGGGTTCAATTCTGTCCCCTGCAGCACCCCCACCCCCCCCACAAAAAGAAAACATCAATGATCTCATTATGAGAAAAAAACTTCTAATTTTTGAAAGCCACAAATTCCTTTAAGAACAAAGTAAGTGAATCAAATACTCATTTCTTGTATTTAAACTTAAATTATCAATAATGACAAAACATGAGTTAGTCGATTATTTTTTGATTGAACTGCCACCATTCAAACCAAACATAAGCACTTACAATATTGAATTCTGAAAGAACAACATTTTATAAAACTTTCATCAGTGATTATTACAAGCAAACTTGGATGCTGATCTAAGCCCAATTACTGGATACATCATCTCATCTCTTATCAAGAACTTTGTGTTTTGTGTTCAGATCCTGAACCAAATCAGTATAACATGAGGGGGCCCTGCCACCTGGGGCCCCACTTCCTGAGGCTCATTCACTAGATCTGAGATGAGACCTGATCCCTATTTTTCAGAAACCCTACAGGTAATCCTAACATCTGTCACAGGCTGAGGACTGTCAGCACTCACCTAATCCAAGAGATGAGTATAGTAAAAAGTCAGTCCATGATGAACCCACAGTTCAAAACACTGACATACACAATGAATACTTTACTCCATCACGTAAAGTGAATTTCCCTGAATAAAATAATTTAACAACATAAGTTAAACTGAGTATCTGTTAATTTCAAAATGAACTTATAGGTAAAACACCATATATATATATACATATTTATAAATATGTATATATATATATATATAAACAAAAACCCGTAACACTTCAAACTTCTTTATTTGCTGTCAAGTCTTCAAATGCCATCACATGTTAAATGAACAAGGAGATATTTCATAATGTGGGTATAGAAATCACTTTCCTTGTTCCAAATGCAAGGTCAAGGCCAAGGTCAAAAGAAGTGTAAGTAGGTCTGGGAGTATGACTCAAGTGGCGAAGCACCTGCCTAACAAGCACAAGGCCTTCACTTAAATTTCCAGAATCATCTAAAAAAGTGCAAGCTTTTCATCTGAGTCTTATAGAAAAGTAAAGCCATCACTCATGAAAGACCACATTAAGAGTAAGCAACAGAACTATTCAACAGACTTAAACAGCTGCATAAAAACGATTCTTGTTTTTATTTTTTAAAGACATTTAGGACTTTGTAAAAGCAATTAAAAATGAATTTGCTTAAACAAAGAATTTACTGCTCATCCACATAACTTTAGACCATTAAACTATAGTTTAATGTACTGAAATGTAATGACATACACAATTTTCACAAGTAGAAGGAAACTATTCAGTCATTTAATTCAACTGCTTTATACATCATCTCATTTGCAGATAAGAAGTTTTGAGGTCCCAAATGGCCAAAGTGTCAAAGTCAGGATTAGATGATATTCAAAGCTGGTCAAATCATCTGTGAGGGTATGGGATTTTCATTTACCTTTACACTGAGGCAATGAGTGCAAGGACTGAGGTTTTAAAGGGAGAACGGTAGTTCAACAGAAAAAAAAAGCATTAGATTGAAAGATTTTAGACAAAAGTCCAATGCAGTCCTGTGACTGTACCTTAGCTAGGTGTAAGAACAAGTGTCTCAGGTTTCATAGTGATCATGTCACTGTCCCTGACTGAACTTTCTGATCTTCAGTTGAAGATATAAATACTTCCTCTTCCTTTTCCTATGTGCTTTAGTTTGGTCATGAGGATTTGCATTAGGATTTTTTTTACCTTTTGACATGGTTTTACTACATTCTCAGGCTAGCCTGGAAATCATATTCTACGTGCTTCTGCCTATTGAGTGCTGGGATTACAAAAATGTCACCATATCTAACTTTATACCAGGATTACAAAAACTAATTAAAAATATCTTTAAATGATTGTACAAGTTTCAACACAACAATTTATGTGTGTAATATATCTTGATCAGTGTGAGCTCTTCTACCATTCTCCCTTCCACCAAAATCTTGATTATTTAAAAATTTTTATTTAGCATTAAAAATTGTTTCATCTGTCTGTAGAATTACAGTTGAACAGTAGACATGAAGGTATAAAAAAATGGACAAATCATAATAAAACCCAATTGTAAGCAACTAATATACACTAACAAAAACAAAACAAATAATATGGACCTAGGGTTGATGGTCCAAATCTTTACAATCTCAGAGGGATGAGAGATTTCTTTCTCATTTAGGATTTACTCCCTTGATTGTGTTGTAGAAGACAGACACCAGAAGTGCCATGTTTCCTGTGTATCTATTTTACCACCCCAAGAACTGGAGTTGGAACTCAGGGCCTGGGCAGCTGGGTTTAGCTTTTTTATTCAAGGCTGGTGCTCTACCAGCTAAGTCATAGCTCCACTTCCGGCTTTTCGTAGTTTACTGAAGATTAAGAGTCTCACAGACTTTCCTGCCGGGGCTGATTTTGAACCAAGATCCTCAGATCTCAGTCCCTAGAGTAGTTAGGACTACAGGGTGAGCCCTCAGCAGTTGGCTGTCTTACACATTATAAAGCAGTTTCCATAGCATTCTACTTCATGGCTCAATATTCCTTCATGGAGTAATTTTTCAAATGAAGTTTCTATTTTTGTGGCACTTTTCCTCCAAACTCCTAATTCTGGTCTAGTCATTAGAAAAAGACAAATCCCAATGAGTAACAAAACACCAAAGTTATGAAAAGCAAGATAAATCCAAGAAACCATCACAACCATGAGGCACCTAAAAAGACATTATAACTTCATACAATATGATATATTGGGTCAGGTCCTGGAGCAGGAAATGGGCATTAGGTAAAACAACAACAAACCCATAAAACTTAGGAAAATTGAATATTGTGGACTTCAGTTAAAAATAACATCAGGCCAGGACCCAATGATTCATGCCTGTAATCCCAGCTACTCAGGAGTCTGAGTTATGAAGTTTGTGGTTCAAGTCAGCCTTGGCAGGAAAGTCCATGAGACTCTTATCTCCAACTAACCACCAGAAAACTGGAAGTGGAGCAAAAGCTCAAAGTGGTAGAATGCCAGCCTTAAGCAAAAGAGCACAGGGACAATGCCCACACTCTGAATTCAAGACTCACAATTGACCGGCACAACCCCCACAAAAAAGATAACAACAATATTGATTCACTAGAGTAATGATGTACTATATTAAAGTGAGATATAAATAACAGAACAAAATTAGCATGGGATATTAAAATATATATTACATATTCCACACGGTACATCACTAATATACACATATGTAGGTATATATAAGTGTATAGTACTGTTTTTATTTTTTATAAATTTTAAGCTAAAGTTCTTTTTTTAAATGCAGCTCTTTTACTTACTAACCTTGAGCAAGTTACTTAGTCTTTCTGTGTCTCATTTGTTTCATCTGCAAATAACAGTAACTACTTAATCTGCTGTGAAGGCTAAAAGAATCCATTTATTAGTATGTTTAGAACTTCCTGTATGCCTCGTATTAGATAGATAGTGATTATTTTGGAACTTTTAAAAAGTGAAACCTTATACAAATTGAGTAAAAAGTCTAAAATCTAAAATATTAAACTAATTTATAAACAAGATTTGAAATAAGGAAATTCCCCTCAGTTTAAAAGATTTTGCCACGGGCTGGGAAGGTGGCTCAGTGGTAGAGCGCTTGCCTTGCATGCCTGAGATCCTGGGTTCGATTCCTCAGCACCACATAAGCAAAAAGAAAAAAAAGCCGGCGCTGTGGCTCAAGTGGTAGAGCGCTAGCCTTGAGCTGAAGAGCTGAGGGACAGCGCCCAGGCCCAGAGTTCAGGCCCCACGACCGGACCCCAAAAAAAAAAAAAAAAGATTTTGCCACAAGTTACATTAACTTCTGAGTGAGTAAATTAGTTAAAGTATAAATTTTGTTTTATACTGTGTTCAACATCATGGTTACCATATAAACCTTGTTAAGAATTTGTCTGGAATTGAGGTTTTAGCAATCTATAGTTCATATGATTTTGTTTAGAGTCTAAACTTCCCAATGATATAAAAAATGAGATTTTTCTTAAAAATCAAGAGTTTGTATTTTAATATCAATGACTTAATTATTCTTGTGGAGAGACAGTGAATAGGCTATAGACTCAAGATCAAAGTAAAAAGGCAGGACATTTTAAAACCATTTAGATAGTAAAATGACCAGAAGTCTAATGTTCAGGCACATACTTCTCTTAGTTAGAAATATATCTGTAAGTCATATTACTTACATATGCTCCTAACTCCAGCTTTATTTTTTATTTATTTTTTCCTAGGGCTGAGGACCGAACCCAGGGCCTTGCGCACGCTGGGAAGGCGCCCTTCCGCTGGGCTAAACCCCCAGCCTCCTAACTCCAGCTTTAAATGTCCTGATCCACTGAGGGTGTTGTGATTCTAAATATGAAAAAAAATCACTCAGCATTCTTCTACTTTTTCTAATACCTGAACAATTCAGTTTACATTCTGAGATCTATGTAAATATTATAACTATTTACAGAAGTCACTATGGGCTGGGACCATGGCTCAAATGATAGAGCACTTGCCTCATATGTATATATTCCCTAATTATGTTTTAGTATCTTAAGATATCAATCTATAATGTATTCAAAATATTTCCTATATGTTATTTGCAAATATTATATGATAAATAAAATTGTTCCCAAGTTAAATATAAGTATTTGATGAATGTTATTGAAATCTCTTTTGACATTAACCATGATAGATAGGCTTTGATTTGTTTATTATAGGCAACCACTTAGAGAAGTCAGGATGTTTACTTAATCAAAAAACTGAGGCAAATAAATATATCTTTGGGACCAAGGTCAAAGATTAACTTTATTTTTGAAATAATACTGTGGAAAAGTTTGGTCTCTGAAATGCAAACTATCTACTACCATCGTACTTGGATCAGTCTTCTTGATTAATAGTTTTAAAATAACTGTTTGCTCTAGGTTTTTAAAGCACCATTTTCATTTTGATCTATCAATGTCGATCTAAAATTCTTGAAAAATTCATATAGCAATCTCTCAATACAACATATTTCTTTTCTTTCATAACAAATGCCCCATCAAGATGATATTTCACCATGCTATACCAAAGAATAGATTATTTAAATTCAGGTGTTATCAGCTATGCAAATTACCACTGTTGTGAGGAAGTAAATTATGGTGACCACTATTCTTCCTGAGATTAAACATAATTTTTCTAGGAACTAGATTCATGTTAAGAATTTTATGACCTATGTTGTAAAGGATGAATATTTCCATTTTGAAAAAACTTTATAATTCAATTTTCAAATGGAACAATGATTATCCTTTAGTTCCTCACAAAAAATGATGCACCTTTTACTGTGCAAGTTGTTCTCTTTATGGCAACAAGTATCCACAGAAAATACAAAACAATGAAATATCCTACCTGAGTGATCTCTGAAACAAAATTAGTAGTTTTCTAGTCCAACAATGCCAAGTCATGAACTAATTTAAAAAAATTAAATGCACTATTTACCTATGTAAAGATATTCCCTTCTCTCCATTATACAACTGATTACAGATGACTGGTCTATTTTTTCTATCATTCCAACACCACAATTCAGAATTCCATGTTCTGAAGGTTAGAAGAGTGAAAGATAGTAAATATCCTCAATCGGGAGATCTATACATACATGAATTAATTTTATTTCAATCCCTTTTGATGCTTATATCAACAATAACAAAGCAAAACCTGCAAAGAAATTTTAAGTCAAATGATACACTACTTGTCTTTTAGCTATTTAGAAATATTTTCCAATGAAAATGAATTAAAAAGATAACTTATGCTCTAACTTGTTAGACTATAATGTTATAGTTGTTCAAAATGATTAATAAGAAAATTCACTCCTAAAAAACAAACCAGATTCCAAGGGTGGTGAAGAAAATTATTTGTATGAAATTATTAGTTTTTTCTTTACTTTTGTTCTTCTAAATTATTCCCTGTCTTCCAGCCCCCCTTTGCACCAGCGGATGACAGCTAGTCCCTCTACATTCCTTTAAACTCTCCTAAAAAGAATGTCCTTTCTTTCTCTGAATAGCAGGAATCTAAATCTAAATAGCTGTAAAAGTGAAGGTAACAGGAATTAGTAGCTGTCATCTTGGAAAAGATGTGTTACTTGGTATTTCTCTGTATTAGTCAGGAGAGCAGCAACAGAAACAGGACAAAGAAATAACCACAGAAAAATAGTATTGACAACTAAAATGGTGTCAAAAATGGACAACTACCATGTGGATCTCTTTGTAAAATCTTCATTTCCATTCAATTTAAAATGAGCATAATTGATCATAAGCTAAATTTGTCACAAAATTTTACACTATAGAAATGTCTTCTGTAGTTTTGCTATGCATTTAGAGGATAAATAAATAAAGCAAACCACTAGGTGATGATGCTTAAAATTGTTACTATATATTATTTTCAAAGCAAGTCAGATCTACATATGAAAGACAAACTATTTCAAAATGAATGCTATTTGTTATCTTTATAATTTTATAGAATTAATGTGGGAGCCTTTAAAAAAAACACTAGCAAAAGTACTGCATGCTTATACCAAGATACTATTTAGGCAAGATGCTTGTAGATGTACATATAAGCATATATTTTAAACAATAAATACTTCATTATTTTAGGACATTATAGAGAGTATACGCCCACACCCCATTTCTAACAGTAAGAAAATAATCAACCTGCATGAACTGGAATCAGATTCATTTTCTTCTTCGCTAGTGCCATCATCCACTTCTGGTCTATCCAGCCAATGTGCACCGCCACAATCTTCTGCTGTAAACTCAAATGCAGGGACTTCAGAGGTGGATGCCATTGGCCAAGAAGGTGAATTCTGAAAATCCAGTTGGCTGGACCTTCGGTAACCAATTGAAGCCAAAGGCAATTGTAGGCTACATGGATCTAAAAACTTTCTCCCACCGTTTGCTCCAGTCTGTCCTCGATTCCAAAATTCTCCCTGCTGGCTGTCAACTGCAGAATTAGGAGATGATGCTTGATGGCCAAACCACCTCCATCTGATTTTCAAAATCTGTTTCACATCAAACTCTTTACGAGAACCAGACATCCTCAGTGAAACCAAGTGATCGTCTAGGCAACGGGCAAAAAGCACTGCACACAGAGATATGTGCATCCAACCAAGACAAGAGAAGTATATGCCCTGCTGTACACAACAAACAGATTGAAAGGAAAATAAATCACATTCACATATATCTATATTTACTTGCATGCCAATATATCTATCAGATTATAAAGAACAAAGGATAATGAATAAAGATGAAACACGGTGGAACATTCCGTTCAATCACAGCAAACTCTGATCCACCTATCCTGAAGCAGCTAGACCACTTCCCGGCTCTCCTTTCCCAATCTGACCATTAGCTCTCACCAAACACTCACAGCATTCATTAAAGTCCTTTCAAATGCAGAATACCACCCCCTTTTCTTAGACCACAAATGACCGAGACAGAAAGCACTATCCCAGTGCAGTGTCTCAGTCTCTCCTGCTTACTGTATTAACTCTTTTATTGCTGAAACAAGAAATGGATTCCAGAGCATTTTCCTTTGTACTTAAAAAACACTTTACAACGGAGGCGTTCCTATTTTTAAATCAAGTTGCTAGATGAAATACCACAAAAAGAGTTCTGTAAAAAGCGTTTTTTAATTAGGTAAGTTATGACAAATGTCAACCTTTGCTCTTTGGATGAGGGTAAGAGTGGGAAGAAGTACAAAGGTGGGGCTCCAGATTGTTACCTTCCGCCTTTATCTGAAAAGGAGTGCGTTCAATTAATGAGGTAAGATTGTGGGAAAGACTTCATTTGAACAAAGAAGAATTGGAAGCAAAAGTTTGAAAACTACCAAGGATTAAAATGTGACAGTTCTTACTTTTTTCCAATAAATGACCTGACGCCAACATTGCTCTGTATTTCAGACAGAGTCCCTTCCATTTAGTAGAATAGTAAGATACTACGTAGGAAAAGGAAAATGCGGTACTTAAAGAGGCTGTTTCTTAGGTATACTGGTGTCTTAATTGGGGGTACCCCCTGTTGTTGGCAAAACAAAGCAAGGGTGTGAAAACAGATACAGTGAAGGCAAGTTAATAGACAAAACTAGTAAAAATCAAATTCTAAATGCTGAGTAGTTACTGTGAGTAATCCATGCATTATTAGGTATTGTAGGGACACAAAAAGGCAAGTTAAAATACAAAACATTATAATGCCAAAATACTAAAATTTTGTAGCCTATAAATACATAATTTCAGTTTCAGGGTGCATGTATCAAATAATTTCACACAAAAGGCTGTACTGAACTAAAAAAACATGACAAACTAAAAGCTGCTTTGGAAGCATAGAAAAATACTGTGAAGCAAATACCTTAACCTCACATAGCTCCTCATAATAATAACAAAAAAAAAACTATCTACAAAAACAAGAAAGAGAAGCAAGAAAAGCCACATAAAATTCCATGTTAAGGAAGCAAAAGATATGAGGAAGGTGTAGAGTCAGTTTCACTAGACTCCAGGCTTCTAAGAATAAGAAGTTATTCAGGCAGAACGATGATAGATTGATATAAAATAAGACAGGTATGAGGAAGGAAGTGAACATACAGACGAGGGAGGAGGAGAAGTATCAGTTTGATCATCCAGCCAGCCATACCTAATTAATTTTAAAAGGTGAGATAAAGTTAGATGAATCTGATTAGATAAAATGCTTTGAGCAAAAAGCAAATGTGCTATTAAGTGGACTGTTGAACAGGGCAATGTTTTAGAAAATTAATTTGGGGGCATACACAAGAGGCACTGGACAAGGAAACTGGAGAATGAAATTACTTCTTTCCCTGATGGACTCTCTGGATATCCATACTCTTCTAATTCCACGTACTTTCCCATGTAGATATACAGCTTCATCAGTTAAGATAGTCTACATTATGTTGCTTCCTCTTTAACAATGCTGTGTGTCTTCTGATTTCTCTGGTTTTAAAATCCTACTCCTTCAAAGTAGAACTCCACCCTCTGAACATTTCTTTTTTACTTTTCTTTTTTTTGCATGTCCTGGGGTTTGAACTCAGGGCCTGGACACTGTCCCTGAGCTTCTTTTGCTCAAGGTTAGCCCTCTACCACTTGAGCCACTTCTGGCCTTTTTTGTTTATGTGGTACTGAGGAATTGAACCCAGGGTTTCATGTATGCTAGGCACTAAGCCACATTCCCAGCCTCATCCATAACATTTCTTCAATTACTCTAGCTTTGTGGTTCTCAACAAAAATAGCACCCCCCTCTCCCCGACAAAGGCATCTAAAAATTGGGGGAAGAGCAGATTTCAGAGTGTACTAATAGCATTCAGGGGGCAAGGGCCAGAAATAATAGACATCTTGCCATGCATGTACAAATAAGAAAATGAAAACCAATCCCACTATAGCTCATAATGATCTTGCCTTCACTCCCTTCATTTAAGTATTTACCAAGGGTTCATATGTTCACTAACAGATCTTGTTTTCAAGAAATTTTAAGCTTACACTTTTAACAAAGGGGAAAATTAAATATTTCAAAGGAATGAATTTTTACAAATATAATTCATATAGATAACATTTTACATTGGATTCAGTAGATCATTGTTGTGAAAGCCAGACTAGAGAGGTCCTCATTATAGTAAATTCTAGCTTCTTTTTTTGTAAATTCTAGCTTTGAGAGCTCCAATAGCTAGAAGTCATTTTAATGATTTTGTTGTTTGGTTGCCTGTTTGAATCTTGAACTCAAGGCCACTGAGATATGAGACATTTCTTATCATTTTTTCTCTATAAGAAATTTAAAGACCAACAGAGATATGAGTATTACAGATATGAAGGTTAAATTATGTCATTATTCCCATAAAGGACCAAATGCTTTTTCAACAAAACTTTGAACTATACATTTAATAAATAAATACCTCATTGACATAGTAGCTGTTCTATGTGATTACAGGTGGGAGGATCCATGATCTTAAAGGGACACCAGAATTGTGGGTTGGAAAAGGCCAACTAGTAGTATTTAATTCTTAATGGCAGGAAGATGCATTTATTTATTTGCATATATGTATATATACACACACATTCTTTTTATCCACATATTATATATATATAAAAATTTTTATTTGTATATATATGTATATTATACATATATGCACACATATTTATTGTACCTGTATACATATACACAAAGAAACACTTTTACATTAGTGGATTAGTTCCATGTTATTTTCACTTATTTGGCCTCCTTTACTCATTCTCCCTAGTAATCAACATAGCAAGATGAGTACACAGACTCTCACATTTCTATCCATGTTAAAATCATATATAACTATATATATACATTTATAACAGTTTTGGTTATGACTAAGAAGGATCCGATTGCTAACATTATTTTGTCATTTAATTGTTCTTACCTAAACTCATATATACACAAAAACATATTTTTAAGACTTTTTTTTAACAGCTTCATAACATTGCAAAATTGTAAAATAATTTTAAACTATCTCCTTGCTAATGAAAATGTGAGATAATATCAAGTTTTTGTGTTTGCTATTAAGATTATGTGCAGTAAACATCTCTGTGAGTCTTTATTTCCATGGAATTTATTTCTAAGAGAACTGTTGAGTTGAGGGTACAGCATGTAGCTTACATTTGAGTATTTGACTTTCCTTAAATTTATAATTGAATCATAAAATGAGTGTATGCTTATTATCTATTTCCATAAGCCTGACACTTAGCAATGAATATTGTAATTCTTTTAATTCCAGATTGGTACTGGATGTGATGTCTAACTTCAAAGGTTTATTAGGTTTATTTCTGAGCTACAAACTTACGTTTTTTTGCCTATTTTTCTCTTAGGTCATTTATCTTTGCTTCATCACCAAGCAGAAGCCTTTTGTGCATTATAGACAGCTGTTTTGTTCTTGTTTGGGAAATATTTTTGTTTGAGTCTATGTTCCAGATAGATAGCAACATTTTAATATAAAAGTTTAACACACAATAGAGTGTGTAAGTGACAAGTACATGAATTTTCATGATATGAACCCATCATATAATCTTCACCCAGGTTCATGAACAATTATTGTGATTATAGTAACACTTAACAAGTCTTCCTCATACCCCTTCCCAAAGATAACCTCCATATGACATATTATTTTCAGATGCATTTTACCTTCATTCCAGTGCATTCTTTTATTTCCTATTATTTTGAAATCTGCAGTAGCAGACTTCTTGTCTAACACATATAAGGATCTGAGTTTAGTAACAGCACCATAAAACAAACAAACAAATCTGTATTATGTAGCAGCTTATGGTTAGGTTTTATGGCTAATTGATATTCTACTGCAAAAATATACAACCATCATAGTCCATTCTATTTCTGATGTTTCAGTTGTTTATAGTTTAAAAATTTTGCTGTAAATACTCTTGCATATGGTCTGCATATACATGCATTATAATGGTATGTGTATCCACATGTACCTATCTTTAGAAGTAAGCCTGCCACATCATAAAGTATACATGTGTTCAACTGTTAATGTTACCAATTTATACTCCTAAGAACTGCAGTTACTCTACATCCAGCCAACACTGGTACTGCCATTCTGTTGGGTATAAAGAGGTGGCATACCATGAAAATACAATGAAGCATCATTGTGTTTTCTTGATTATGAATGCTATTGAGTAATTTTTCATGTTTATTATTCATTACTTGGATGTCCTATATGCAATGGACATTCAGGTCTCATGCTCTTATTTTCAATTGCCTATCTTTATATTCTTGATTGTAAGAGCTCTAAAATTTCTGATATTATCTTCATTGAAAAATATGTAGTTAGCTAAAATTAATGCTTCTATGGCATGAAATTAAGCATTTATTTAATTTTCCTTCTGTCCCAACAACTTTATGCATGTGTGTTGAGTACTGGGGGCTTGAACTCAGGGCCTACGCACTGTCCCTTAGCTTTTTCACTTAAAGCTAGCAATCTACCACTTGAGCTAGAGCTCCACTTCCACAACTTTTTAAAGGTTGGAGACAAGAATCTCCTGGCCATTCCTTCCTGAGATGGCTTTGAACTAGTATCCTCAGATCTTAGCCTCCTGAATAGTTTATTAAAGGTATGAGAGCCACTGGCACCCGGCTTGTCCTATCAACTGCTGCCATAAAATATAAAAACTGGTTCAGCCAAATGTTTTCTAAAACAATTATACAGTTAAGTTACCTACATGAACTAACTAGTCTATGCAATGGACTGACTAGTCCATATAATATTATTCTCTGGCCACGAAGTTCTAACTAGTCTATGCAATGGACTACATGGACTGACTAGTCCATATAATATTATTCTCTGGCCACTAAGTTCTAACTTTTTTTTAGTACTTACTACTATGTGGCACATTAGGTGTTTATTTACTGTCTTTAACTTCACTACAAGATAATTTCCAGTAAAGCTTTGCTTTAGTTCTTCACTGTAACCCTGGTGCACTTATACAGTTCAATGGCAAAAAGTACTAAATACATATTTCTCTAATAATGAACAAACT